TTTGTGTTCTTCTTGTCTTTATTTACTTTCCTGTTCTGTCATAATTTATCCTCTTGTCTGTAATTTTTGTGCTTATCCTTCTCTTGGATCCTTTTTTTTTTTTGCTTTCGGGTGTTTTGCCTCCATCATGTGGTCTGTCTAAGTTACTACTCCCTCATTAAGTTCCAGGTTTCTTCACCTATTGTCCTCCCAGCTGTTGGTCATTTGCCTTGTCAGTGTTGGTGTATTTAAGACAGTGTGTTCATTTGTCTGGTATCTGGTCATTTCCTCATGAAGATTTCTGCCTATTGTTTCATGCCCTTCACTTCATCCTGGTTTTTTTCTCCCCTCATGACGTCTTATTATTCATGTAAGTATTTGCTGCCACGTCAGCCCTTTTGTTTATTTTTTCATTAAATACTTTTCTTTACTCTTAAACTGAGTTGTTTGAGTCCTCCCTACATTTTTGGGTTCAAAACAATACCAGATCCTTACAAATTATTGGTTTAACCAGGTGAGTGTGAGGGTTTTGGTGGTACAGGGTCCACTCCAGGTGTGACAGGCTCATCCTGGACCATTGTAGCATTCATATGTCCAAGAACCTTAAGACAAATGTCCTCAGAGACACTACGTCTTCCCTACCCCCTCCTTTCCTGCTAATATTGGACAGATACTGACATTTTGTTTCCACCAGAGGAAGTTGCTTTGTTTATCCATTCTGTATGTGTGTTAAAAATCTACAGCTGGAACCACCCTGATGTATTCACTATATGGTGATTAGTTTAGATTTTGAGTCTCCTGAAGAAGGCCTCCCAAAGAGCTTCACTTGGCCTTATCAACAGAAACTGAAGTTGTCATAGTGATAATGGAGGAAGTAAGACCTCAGTTGTGCAGAACTTCAAACACATTCTTTTGTTAATGTAAACAAGGTGTCAGTCATTGTATTATCTTCTTTTATTTGATTTTAATTACATTAATTTTACAGTGGGATACTCCTACTGTAAGAAGCCCTCTGATTGGATAAAAGTTAAGGGGTCCGTCTTCCTGGTGTCAGGTATACTGGACACCCAGAGAGTTGTGAGATGGCAGTCAATGAGGAAAGTTGGCTTTTGAATCATCAGCTGAGCTAAACAGATGGAAAGAGTGGTTGTGGAGAGTTGATGAGACTCTCTGAGAACCAACAGCCATATGATAGAAGACATGTCCAGCTGAGGCATGGTGGACATCCTGAAACTTCTCAGAACATCCAGGAGCGAAATGTATGCGCCGAACCGACCGCAGCCCTGAGAAACGACATCCTTCTTGGGACATCGAGCCACCAGCTTCCTTCATGCATCCGCTGCAGTAATGAGAGATGGATGTCTTCCTTCTGATGAGAGAACCACGTAACAGTGCCAACTAAGTTTGTTTAGATAATTTAATTCATGAATCTGAGATAAACATACTTAAATTTTAACGTTGAGAGCTAGGCCTTAGTCCAAATTGAATCAAAACCTCTTCTCAGTCATCAGATGTATGTCATTTACTTTCTAAAATAATATTATTGGTTGTTCATTAATATTCAATATTTGCCATAATTTCCATGTCATAATTCAAACTGAAAATAAACGCTACAGAACTGTATTTAAATTACAAATTATTCAAGTTTCTTCGAGGGATAGGAATTAAGTTCGCTACAAGAATTCATGGTTTATATATGTTTGGAGTTTGACCGGACCATAAGTCCAATATCCTATACACATATTCCCCTACATATCAATTGGTGCCCAACGTGGGGCCAAACGTTTAATTCACTCACAAAAAAGATTAATTTTGGGCTGAGTTGAGCGAAACAGTTTCACTTTCCAAACCGCTGGTCTGATCAGCCAGGCGGAGGAAATTAGCAGACCACTGCGGGTCTGTGTTTTTGTTTACATTCTGAAATGCTGAAGGGGCCGCCAAGCCGCTGTCTCTGTTTGTATCTGTTTATATCTGTGAAGGTAAAAGATGGTTTATTTTTCTCAGAATCCTGTTTATTAAAATGTCTAAAACATTTTGGTACTCTAAAAACATTGCTTAGCGCTGATTATAAGGATTTAATGCGGAGTTTGATGCATGCATGTTTGATTAAAAGGCCTTAAAGAGTGAACGTTTTCATCTCCCAATGGTGAAGGCGTTTGAACGGAGTTCACAGGGGTTACGTCACCGTGAACAGTCTGGTGAAACGTTATAAAACCCCTTATAAAATCCTCCATGTTATAGGAAAACAAGTCTAGCTAATTTGTATCCATAATGATGTTTGAGAATGGAGATAATGTTTGTTTTTGCTCCAGAGAGACTTGCTGAAGTCTAATGAGCAAAGCTAAAGACGTAAACACTCCAGCTTGGTTGCTTAGCAATGTGGTGTACAGCATAGAAGCGTTCAGTTTGGTCTTTATTTCTGTGTTTTTAGAAGCTGCAGAAGTGTTTTGGAAGCCGCCATGCTTCGTCTGATGCCAGTAAGAAGTTATCAGATTTAACCGTTACATTTTCAAGTTGTAAACTGGGCGTAAATAAGTGTTAAAGTCTGTTTTTCCTCCGGGAGCTAGAAGCTAAAAGCTATGGCTTGCCTACCGTAAATGGTTGATGCATGTGCATGCGTCCCATTAAAAGTCTGTCAAGTTTTTCTTTTTGACTTAAGAAACTGAATTTTATTCTGGGAAAAGGTTAGCCTTGCTTTCTGAAGTGAAAAAGAAACGCTTTACGGTGTGTTTTTACGGTGTGTTTTTACGGTCAGGTCTGTTCTATTTGAAAGACAAAGGAATACTGTCCGCCATTTTGAGGAGGCTTTCCTTATAAGCAGAAGGAGACGCCCACTAGAGTAAATGCCTCCTTCTCGCTTGAACCTTCGTCTGTCAGATGACGCTCTAGTATCATCTAGTGGTCGAGTCAAGTTATTGCAACGAGTTGACACTTGTTGAAAGCTTTAAACTTTGTTTTTATCTGAAAAGAGTTTAAACTAAGTTTATTCATCTGATAAATATGTTTTGACATAATTGTCAACATTCAGTCCTGGAAAGTAAACACTTCTGTTTGTTTTACTTTGATAATTCAATTAGAAAATAAAACTTAAAAAGTTTTAAAGTTCTAATTTTTCCTTTTAACTTAGAAACTTCAAATCTGAATGAAAAACACCATTCTGAACTGAATGTTGTCTTGTGGTGTCATTGTCTTTAGTAAAGTTAGCTGATTAAAATAAATTAACTGTTTTGGATTCTGTGAATTTTAAAGTTTTAATTTGAGAAGGATAACAACTTTTCATGTAAATGCTTTGAACTCAGAACAAAAAGGTTATTTTATTATTTAGTTGACTTACCAATACAGAAGGATTAAATTATAATACTGAACAACAGTTCAGTCAATTGCATTAAAGTTAAAAGGGTTTAACTTTAAGTTTAGTTTTTCTTTGATCGGGGTGGCTGTGGCTGAATGGTTAGAGCAGTCGTCTGCCAATGCAAGGGTTGGGGGTTCGAATCCACCAGCAGTTGCATGCCGAAGTGTCCATGGGCAAGACACTGAACCCCTCATTGCCTCCGATGTGTGTCCCATCGATGTATAAATGTGATCTAAAAAGCTCTGATTAGTCTCTTCAGAATGATTTGTTCAAATAGCTTTGTAGAGATCTAGTAGAGTGTTGTATGAATGGCTAAATGAGGACACAGATTGTGTTGTAAAGCGCTTTGAGTATCATGATCAGATAGAAAGGTACTATATAAGTACAGTCCATTTAAGGATTTTTAGAGACCTGATCATGGCAGGTGTAAGCACATCACCAGAATTGAGTGATGTTGAAGAACAGAGAATGGAAAATTCTTGCTCAAACCTAGAAGAGGCTGTAGAATATCTTTTGACAGAACTAAATCTGGATTATAAAAATCTAATTCAAGGGAAAACTGCCAAAGAATTAGAACAAATAATCACAGACCTAGCTATACAGATGCCAGATGAAAAACCCACAGGTTCCCAAGTTTTAACAATGTTAGCCATGCTCGCCGGAGTAATTACAAAAAGGCTAGAACAAACTGAAACAATCTTAAACAAAGCCTCAGAGAAATTAAAACCATGGAAGCGAAGGATACGTCATTTGAAAGATGGCAAAAGAGAACAAGAGACAAAAAAACACCTCCTTAGCTCATGCAAACAAAAAGTTAACAGCTGAATTAGCTGCTAATACAAAATATTTTGATATACTTAGCAGGAAGCTGCTTGATGTATTTTCAAAATATGAAACTGACATGCATGCGTTTCAAAGTAGGCTCACGCAAGAAAGGGAATAAACTGTAAAAACGCACACGGAACTCCAAAAAGCATATGCTCAAATAGTAGGGTTTAAAATGCATGATACAGCTTACTTTAATCATATAGCTGATAAACAAAAAGAGATTCAAACTCTGAGAAACCAAATCTCTGAGCTATAGGAAAATGTTACAACACTAACAACTAGAGAACATCCAGTTCTAAGTCCCGAACCTTCTTTCAGAGGTCCCCACTCATCTCCTCTGGGAAGGAGATCTCCTGAACAACCTTCCTACAGTCAC